CGTTACGTACAGCAATCCGTGCAAAATGAAAACTACATATATTATTTTCATGTGTTTTCAATAGCTAGTACTGTCTACCTAATAAATTAAGGGAATAAGTAAATCATACAAATATACAATTACCTGATTCACCTCATCAATTGTGGTCGAATCATTTTTGCACACTACTGTTTCAACACTACCGTATTGGCCCGCAGGCTGCTTGGAATCAGGAGAAGCATCGAAAAATAGTCGCCGCTGCTTAATGTGCGGTGTACTTGGATCCACCAACCTAGTTTTGCAGCGAACGGGCAATGACTCCGCATTGTACTCACGCTCAGCTATGTGGGGGACGACAGCCGAGTTAGTACCCACTGTTCGGCTAAACCGAACCTTAGGACACGTTCGCTTTGTGTGCCCAATGCATTTGCAATTCCCACATTTTCTTGTCTTTGACAGTTGGATGAGGCCCATCCTGGGTTCCCTTTTGTCTTCACAACATCAGGATCTTCTACTCCAAATTGTCGACGGAATTAATGTTTCCCTTTGTCTCCATTCCCATCGTTCAGATTCCTCTCATATAACTCCTTCATCCGGGTCGTCATTGGAAGACATGCATCCCTAGCCTCTTTGAAACCTTCCGTTGATTGCGAGGCATAGAAACACATTTCGTTGTAGGAAGAACACAATATCCCATATCGGGCCGTCTGTGTTGTAGTGCTATCAATTGAGGGTTGAGGCCATTGCTGGCCATCCTTGCTTGCAGCCCTTGTCCATCTATGCAGCACACAAGTTGGGGGAATTTGCGTTAAATTTTCGGCTTTCATAACACATATCATGTGACAGCAAGGTAGCCCCAACGACTCAAACTTCATGCAAGAACATCTCATTGCAGCATCCATTGGACTGTGTGTTACTATCCATGATCTGTCCTTCACTCTGTACTTATGAATATAGTAGCATTTCTGACCATCCGGCAAAGGGAACACATCCTTCACATTCAACTTCCCCTCTTCTAAGATTTCATCATGGAACATTGTAAATATATTTCGGGTGAATAGCTCAGCTCCATGTCTCTCTATATCTCGCAATGGAGTAATCAATACCGAAAAAGTGTTATTTGTTTCAGCATCATCTCCCGCCTCGTTATACCTTATCCTTGCAAGAGCCCGATCATAGTGCTTAACAAATTCATATAGCTTCAATTTGTGTTGGAGGAAGGGATTGAAATAAGCATTCATACACTCCGAGCGCTGAGTGCTCTTCATCCCAGCAAAAAAATGTCCACGCATATATGCCTTAGCCCACATATGACGCTTCTCATATGTCTCCAACACCCAACTGTTGGTTTGAAGTCCAAATTTTTTGACTATTGTCGTCCAGCCATGCTCAAACTTTGTCTCATCCATTTTCATGTCCATGCACTGCTTGAAAGCATATCCAAAGCCACTTATGTGAACATTTGAAACAGCATTTTTCCCAAGATGCCAATTACATAATCGATGTCTTGCGTCTGGAAATACTCTTCTGATTGCCTCTTGCATCGCCTTATCCTCATCTGTCAGTACGGACACAGGTGTTTTATTGCCCATCACCTCCATAAATGTTTCCAAAACCCATGTGTATGTCTTAATTGTCTCATTAGCTAGCAAAACACATGCAAATATCGTGGTCCTAAAGTGGCTAGTCACACCAGCCAACATGACAAAAGGCTTCTTGTATGCATTGGCTCTGTAAGTTGAGTCAAATATCAACACATCACCAAACTTTGCGTAGTCGGCCAGCGATTTCGAATTTGCCCAGAATAGATTTTGTAACTTGTTATCGTTACACACATCATACTTGTAAAAAAAAACATGCATCAATATCAAGTTTTGCACATAGGTAAACCAACGCACCCTGCGCATCACCATCCTCAACTTCTGCTCTACGTTCGGCTTGAATATAGTTGTGCAAATCCGTACGGACGAAACCAACATTCTCATAAGACCCGGATTGATTTACCATATAGTCCATGATTTGGCTAATCTTCACACCGACATTGCGCATAGCCATTGCTTGAGCTTTGTCAGCGCTGTTTAAACTGTGATGTGACCTCGGATACATCACACAGTGTTGTTCCGCCAATTCTTGGTTGTGGTCTGCGATGAAGTGAGTCACAACATACTTTCCCCCTTCACCAGCATCTGCATCGTACCATATGCGAAATTGGGCTTTGCAACCTACTTTTGTTAGTGCCTTGGGAGCTCTGCTCTTCTCAGCAACACGGTCCAAGTATATTGGTAATCTCTGACTTTCCCTTGAACACAACCACAGCCTACTAACGACCTTTCCCTCTTTATTTGTGTTAAATCTGGATTTTCGTATACGAAATCCCTTGGCTTTAGCATACGCATTGTAGAAAGTTTCTCCATCTTCGACCGAATCAAATTTCTGTTCCAAAATAGCACGTTCAACATCACCAACCATGTCATTGCCATGAGCATCGTCAACCATTTCTTTTTTCACATCGGCTCCGCCATCTTCAACGTTGAATCAAATTTCTGTTCCAGAATAGCACGTTCAACATCACCAATCATGTCATTGCGATGAGCATCGTCAACAATTTCTTTTTTCACATTGGCTCCGCCATCTTCAACGTTCATGTTGGTTGCTTCTTCATTGCTCGGACCAGCTTCGTAACCATGATAAATAATCATCACCTTCCCTTTTAACTTCCGCTGGGGCCATACTGCACATGACATTAGTACAAACAATTACTTGATGACCGAAAAATGTTAACACAAACACAAACATGACATTTTCACACGGTTTAGTTGTTTGTGCAAACACAAACACTCACTTGAGAAAGAGAAAGGTTAGTTGCCAATGGAGGGGTTTCCGTTTGAGCGAAGCGTAGAGCGGTTGAAGTTAGGATGGGGGTTTAGTTGATGGAAAATAGCTGAAGTGAAGAGGCCAGAGAGACAGAGAGGGAGACAGAGAGAGGGAGACAACTCCATACCTCATATCTAGTTGGAGAAAAGGGCTTCACTTCAGCAATGGAACCAACACAGGCTTGTAGTTACGTTGTTGTTGGAAATCGCCCGTTATACTGTTCCCTACAAAGCTTCGTCAATGGAACGAACACGGCAAGGGCTTCTCGTTGTTAATGGAAATCAACAATTACACTGACCCAACCTTACACAGAGAGGAGAGCAGATAGAGATAGGAACGAAATACAGAGAGTGAGTAGGATGCAATCATGCAAATACGAGCATTAACCGGTTGCCCCGATTTCAACTTTTTCACAATTAAACAATTCAATGGTCTTGATCAATTATTGTAATCTAACGGCTAACAATTGGGTTGCATATGGTGTGCAACCTTGAGGGGGTTGCACACTTAAACAGAGCCCATTTTGGTAATGTTATATCTTATGTGAATTTTGATACATAGCATATTGTTAAATATGACGGCTCACAAACAAGAGGGAATGGGTTGTGGTTGGGATGTGATTACTTCTTCTTTTTCTTTTTCTTCTTCTTTTTTTTTTTTTTTTTTTTTTTTTTTTGGGGGGGATTAAAATGTTAGACACTCGGTGATATGTAGAGTTTTTTTATTTTTTATTTTGTTAAAATGGTTAGAAAAATAGTGATTGAAATAATTAAAAATTAGTTGGTAGTTACAAGAATGATAATTGAAAAGAAAGTATGTAAAGAAAAAAGTGATTACGTCAAAAAATAACATTTATGCATTGGAATTAAATTACTAAAATTTAATATTTTAACAAACAATGCCAAAATTCAACAATAACGTGCCATTTTATGCATTAGACATAGCTTTAAGGTGATGCTAACCATTTTGACTTGGGGACCCTTTGAATCGTCAAACCAACAGGGTAAAGAAAGGCTACGAGTATGAGTGCTTCTTAGGAATATATATATATATATATATTTTTTTTAAAATTTGTTAAAAAGTTAATCTATTGACTTAAAATAAGTCAATAAAAGTTATTAAAAATTCCTTTGGCATATTCATATTTTTTTACTTTCATGTTTGTTTGGAATATTTTGTCTCGCGTCTCAATCACAAAACTCTGAATTTGTACATGTCTCATACCCATGTAAAAAATTGGTAAAAAATTTAATATATATATATATATATATATTTTTTTTTGTATTTCTAATATTACATATGATTTTTAGTTGAAAGAAAAATATTTAATGATTGTAGATATCAGCTATAATAATAATGTGTATGTTTGGTTTGAGTTTTTTGAATTAAGTTTTTTAAAAATTGAGTTTTTTATTTTTTGTGTTTTTTTTTGTTTAAGTGAATATTTTTAAAATTTTAAGTACTTTTTTTTAGATGCACCTTACTTAGATGTATCTAAAAAGTAAAAAATTTGTGAAAAAATATTTTAAAAAATTAATAAATACATAAAAATATGAAAAACATACTGAATTTTCATTTATTTTTTTTTATATTTTTGGTATTTAGTGAAGTTTTAAAATATTTTTTTCACAAAATTTATACTTTTTATGTGTATTTATGTTTGGAGTGTGTAAAAATTAAAAAAATTGCTTAAAATATTAAAAAAAATTCAGTAAAAATAAAAAAACACAAAAAATAAAAAAGTAAAATTTTCTTAAAAGTATTTTTGAAAAATAAAAAACAAGCAAGCTGAATAATCTTTTGTGTTTATTAACAGTACGGGTATAATTGAAAAAGCAATGCCTTCGCAGTCACTATCTTTATATTTAATTCATCTGTTAGCAAGTTTATTCTTCGTATATTTGTTGAGTTTTTTTATTCCATTTTGAATTTTTTTATTATTATTAATTATTTATTGTATTTGATATTATTATTGGAATTGTACTTCTTAAATTTTATTATAACATCATATATAAATTTTAAAAAAAAAACATAAAAAAGCAATTAATTGATTGGTAAATATAATTAGAATTGCTATCAACAATACTAAAAATCCACAAATAGTGCTCAAAATGCTATATTTATGGACCACAATCATTCTAAAGGATACAATTTCATGCTACATAACATTTTCCATACCACATGACGTGAAGAAGAACACTACACTCGGATAAAATTCAATATATGTTCGAGTGTTTTTTTTATTTTATTTATTACATTTGAGAAATTTTAAACTTGATATCTGAGAGGAAACACACCTCCAAATCCCAAGCCTAACCATCAGGCTAACGCTTATATATTAGTGGTATTGTTGCATCATATATATAACTAGAATTTTAAATATTGATTGATATGTGTTAAGATTATCGAGTTTTTTGAAATCAATATTCACCTATGTATTTTTATATTGATATCAGTCAATATATGCTGTATCATTAATATCAATACATATTTGAATACAATTATTCAAAGCCATACCTATCTTCTTCTTATTCTTCAATGCCTTCCTTTTCATTCTGTCAGTAGTCACCACCTCCTCTTCATGTAATGATCTTGTTCTTTCTCCCTAGTAAACTCTGAAGATCTATCAAGCTTACCAATCACAGCTTTCTTGAAATTAATCATTTCTTGAATTTCTGAACTTGACCTTTGAATTCTAGCCTCACTTAGCCTATTCTTCCTTGCCTCCATCATTTGATTCAGTGAGAGCTTCTTCTTTGGACATAGCTCAGGCCTTTGCTTTGGGGCACTTGTAGACCTGAAAATGTCATTGGCCGGTGTGGGCGGTCCACTCCAATTGACAACCCTAGGGGTATTTTGGGTAGTGGCAAACCCCCAATCGGCAGCACAATGAAAACTCCGGCATTCGGGTATTGATAAATGGGTCAGAACTCGACGTGGGTCGTTGCCGAAATCGGACACTGAGGTGGTGAATCTCTGGGATCTTGATTTGGACCTACCTTTGTCAACTTCCACAATCTTTGGAGTTTTATGAATTGCATTAGTTCGAGTCTCAAAAAAAGCTGGATGCCTTCTACTTTGAATTGATGCAATATTGTACTCACTTCTCGTATCATCAAACCTTTGCTACATAAATCGATAAAACAACTAACATTTGTAATCAATTCCCAACAAATTCAATTAGGTGTCATTGGGTTGCCAAGTTTACTATTTTTTTTTGTTAACAATGCATTAAATAATATTAACAACGTCCACTAATATATATATATATATATATATATATAAAATAAAAAAGGTAATAAATATATTGTACTAAACAATTATTTTTTCTCTAATGGGACCAAAATACCGTTTTTTCTATTTCCTTCTATTTTACATTTTTATTTATTTTTCTTAACCTTTTTAGGGCCTAAGACAAAATTCAAAAGGAGCCTTTTTATATTTAAACGTAAGTGTTGATATCTATATATATATATATTAAGAAAAATGAGATTTTTAATGAGAATTTTTGTAGAAGTTTCAAATTTTCATTCAAATTATTTCATTCAAATTTTAATTTTTTTAATTTTTTTTAAACAATTAAAAAACTTTCTATTGTTTAACCCAACTAAAAAAAAAAAAAAAAAAAAAAAACTCTAATTATCCTTTAAATTTGAATTTCAAAATTCAAATACCCCATTAATATGGAAAATCATTAGCATATCCTATATATTTGCCTCCCTCTCAACCTTCCAAAATCAAAAATATAAAGTAAAGATAGAAAACATAGAATTTTAAAAACTCTAAACAACATATAGCAATTCAATATTAGAAGGATCAATGCAACATGTATTTTAGAAGATGTTAGTTTTATACTTAATCATTTATTTGTCTATTTTTATTATTAGAAATTGGTATATTTACATTTTAATTAATGTTTTCTCTTCCTTTCGTATTATCTTTTTGAACCTTTTGCGTTGAGTATTTACATGTAATGTTAAACATATGTATGTATAATGTATTTCTAAATAATAGTATATGCATGTAATGTTAAATATATTTGCATATGTGTAAATGTATACATTTTGTATTTATGTATATGTTTGATGTTGATTATATATAATGTATCATAACCTATACTTATACATTTGCCTTTAAATCGTTGTACAATTTACATTGGTTGGTTGATTGATCTTCCATACATTACTATTTCACAAAATTTGTTCTTGAAATACTATCTTGATTTTAAGGTAATCATCTCTCCAAATTTTATCATTCAAAATATATATAAAAAAAATATCACTCAAAATCATAAATTTCATTAAAAAAAATTTGTGGCGCAGGAGATAAGGATTGTTAAAATCTTGGCATAATTAGAGACACCATGCCTCATATTTATTGAGTTCATTTGATTTTTTTATTTTTTTTTAAAAAATTATTTTATCAAATAAAAACCTACTTTATGTAGGATTGACTAATCTATCTATATCTATACTATATATTAAGAAAAATCAATTTTTATTAGTTCTAAAACATTTATTTAAATTTCTTAATTTTTTAAAAACTTGTGAACCTTAAAGAAATACAAATGGCATGAAAATATTAGTCCATCTAATCATATCTATGATTTTATAATTTAAAAATCTTAATATAGAAAGTAATAAAAAAAAATCATATCTAACTCATATCTAATTTGAAATTTTAAAATCTTTGAAAGGAAATTTCAAATATAATCTTAGTCTTATATAATTTGAAAAATATTACTTCAAAATTTTATATTTTTATTTTTGAAAACTGAACAATACATGTGGTGTCTAAAAAATTAAGAATTTTTTAGGCCTCAAAATATTTATAGCACATTTATTAAATAAAAAAGAAATTCCGCGTGACACATGTAAGCAAATTTTTATGCCACATCAAAAAATACATGTGTTGTGTTTAAAAATGCATGTGTTTTTAACTGTATATTTTAATCATATCTAAGGCTTCTATTTTTTATTTTTAAAAATTAAACATGCCTGACATAAAATATACATGGTATAAAACTACCAACTTATCTAATTGTTTTTTTTTTTGATTTAATAATTTGAGATTTAAAAAAACAGTCCAAATAAAATTTATTTATTTGTAATTTAAAAATATTTAAATAGAAAATATGAATGAAAATTGTAGCAATATATAATTGGACAAACTTTAACATAGAATACAATAAATCTGAAAAACTTATAGGATGATAAGTATTTTTATTTTATCAGAAATATAATTTTTGTAATTTATTTTATTTTTTTAATTTTTACCAATTAAATTATGACATCTATTTCTTATTGAGAAATTAAAATACACAATTAATGATATAACAACTTCAAAACATATATATATATATATATATATATGTTCTAATGAAATGGTTAAAATTTAATTCATTCTAAACTATTTTTCTATACATTTTTAATAAATTTTATATTATTATTCAATTTTAAAATTAATTTTTAATTGATAGCACAGGAAATATGCTATCATATGATAGCACAGGAAATATGCTATCATATCTGTATATATAATGATATTTTGAATTGTGAACTTATCATTTCAAAATTTAAAATTTATCAAGATGTATTTTATTTATAAAAGTGCCACTGTTGTACAAGAATTCTGGAATAATAGAATTTTCCTTTAAATATTATTTTATTTGTATAACATTATCATATAAAAATAAAATTGACGGAAATGTAAAATAAGAAAAGGAAAGGGGATTTTGGTGCCACTAGGAAAAAAAATTGTTTAGTTCAATACATTTATTATTTTCTTGACTTTCTATAATAGTGGAAATGCATTGGTAATTGTTAACAAAAACTCTTTTAATTTATAAAAAGCAAAACAAAAAATGGTCAAGTATACAAAAATAAATATATTTGGTGAGTTGCAAATATAGCGGTCATCAACAGAGAGTGAACGAATGTGGTAGCTGAAAATAGGAATGGTTGGAGGTGATTGTTCGAGTTGGTGGCCAGGGCCACAGGCGGTGATTGAGAGTTGGTCACACGCAAGGTGGCTTGGAGCTCGCTCATAGTCAGTTGAAAGGTGATCGGAGGTCGTCAAATGTCAATTGGAGTTGCTAGAGGTCAGTGGTGATAGAGGAAGAACAAGTAAAAACTTATTTTAAAAATAAATAAAAACAACTTTTTCATTTCCAAATAAAAAAAATTCAATTGATTTTACATCTTTAAAAATATAAACAAAATAAAAAAATAGAAAAAAAAAAGAAAAGAAAGAAACGGAAGTATTAGCAAACGAGGCATTCGTGATCAAAACATTTGTGATGAGTCAGTCTGAGACACATAAAGTAAATTAGTCGATAAGATTTTTCAAAAGTGAGTTTCACCGAGCAATCTTGTAAAATTTTATCTGTTAATTTGTTTTATGTGTCAGATCAATTATGCATTAAACTTTTGTATTACAAGATTTTTGAGTCTTACAACAGATTTAGGGGTTCGACATTGAGGATGAAAATTGTCGCCAGTGTTGATGAAGCCAAGAGATTTTTGGGCACGAACTGTGGCCTGTGCTCTTATTAGAGCTTGCATACTACGAAACATTGCAGTGGCTTGTTTACGCACCAAATAGCCTCTAACATGTGCTTGTATCTTCACTAACCCTTTTACTGCCTTTAGTGCTCTTCTCGCCTGTTTAAAATTTAAAAATAAATACAATAAAATACTTTGCTTCACTAAAATAAATAAAATATTAGACAAATAATAACATTAGTCACTATAGTTTATTCAACCTCATACTTTTAATTTCATTGTAATATTATCCATCTGTCATGTAAGCTAATATATGAGAAGAACCGAATTAAATTTTTGAGTGTTTAAATTCGTTTGTTAAGAATTAGTCAAGCCTGAGATCAAATCAAATTTAAATAATCGAGCTCAAGTGCTGTATTTGAAAAATTTGAGTTCGGCTTGAGTCAATTCAATTATATAAATGAGCTTGAGTTTAAAATACAAAATTAAACTTAAATTAAATTGTTTATTAAGATAAAAAAAAAATTAAGAGCAAAATATAAAATTATGTTTGTATTAATATTTATCAATTAAATATGTAAATTTGAACAAATACCAAACACAAATAGAATAATAAAATAAATTAATAAAACTTGACTTGATATATTTTTAAAAACAAATAGTAACACATTTCTTTATATTCACAAGTCTTATCAATTTAAGTTTAGGTCTACTTAAGCTCGGTTTAATTATTAAAAATTGAGTTCGAGCTCGTGTTCATTTAGTAAACGAATCGAATTCAAATGAGTTTTAAACAAGTCAAACTCACTTAATTCGTTTGCAATCCTATATGCGGATAACCGTTTGCAAGGAAAAGTCCATGTAAAAATTAAGGAACCAGAATGGAATCTAAGAAAAAATATACACAGGCCTATTTTGAGAAGTAAGTTAAAAGTCAATTTTTTGAATTTTATTGAAAAACATATAAAAAAATAAACAAACATGCTGCATACCCCCAGTGGGGGTTGCGCCCCCAGTGACGTGGCGCGCCCCCACTGGCTGGAAACTTAAAAAAAAAAAAAAAAAAAAAACAGTTTTTGTTTTTGGACCAATCCGAGGCCGACACCTCACTGGGGGTCGACCCCCAGTGAGGGTATGAAGCTTTTTTCAAAAATAAAAAGTTGATATGATTAAAAAAAAAAAAATCAAAAAATCAACCTTTTGGCTTTCAATCCAATTGCCCAAATAGGCTATGTATAATTTTTTTGAATTCCACTCTAATACTTTTTTCCATTAAAAAATCTTAACTAACAAGGGATCATATTACAATAAGATTCAACTTGTTCAAATAAAAATTAAGATAATTAAAATGAAACTTTCGCTGTAATTTACCCCAAAACTTTTTCTGAAAGCACAAAAACAAAGCACTAGAAGAACATGAAAAGTTTACCAAATATCCACGAAAAACAGACTGAATCTTGACGGCAGCCCATCTTTCACGGTCACCACCTCCAAACATGGTTGCTCTGCCGTGGCTACTAGTGAGCCTAACAGCATCTGCCACCGCCTTGGCGGCAGCGACGGCTGCATCTGCTGCGGCGGAGGTGGCGGCAGCAACCTCCATTGCATGCTTTCTCTGCAGTTTTTCGGCTGCCATGATGTTTGGTGGTATGGTTTCCGAATTCTGACCCGAACCACTGGAGTCTTTCCCAGAGTGGCCAACACTCCAGCGGTTCTTGTCATTCCGGTCACCGAAATTTGAGTTCTCTTTTTGTTCTCTGTCTTTCTTTATCCCAAACAGGGTCTTTAGCCACTTGGTTGCTCTACCCATTTTGGTCAGTGTGATGTGAGGACTAGTAAAGAGAGAGTGAGAGGGAATGGGGCCTTAAAAAAGAGTGAACACTGAGAAAGGTGTTGTGTACCGGAAAATTATTAAATATTCTTGAAATAGTACGTGTTTGTATTTTTTAATTAATTATTATTTAATATGTCTTTTTATATTTTCTAATCATCTAACATAATAATTTAACTATTAATTTTCTTTACTAATCATAATATTATAAAATACCACGTGTCTATATTCCAGTGCCTATATTCCAGAATTACTGCCTGATAAGTATTGGTTATTGGGCTCTCCATCTTATGGGGCATCGGGTCTTTTGGCATTATTTTAATTTTTATGCGTATATAGATAAGGGGTAATTCTTGTATTGCGTAAGAAAGTTGTACTCATTTTTAGATTATTGTGAAATTACAGTAATCATGATGTCAATTTATTCTAAATTGAACTACATCAATCCTTGTGTTATTATATTTGTGTGATTAACTTGATTTTTCTTTTTTGTGGTTTGTTATTTGTGTCTCAACGATACTAATTAGGATTTGTCGATTTCTTAATAAAAAGTTATCTATACTATATATTAAAGAAAATGAGATTTCTAACAAGGAGCATCATGCGAGCTCCAAAACCTGAACCTAAATTTCTTAATTTTTATTTTATTTTAAACCATTGCAAAAATTCTATTGGCCAACTTTTATTTAATAAATAGAAAAACTCTAAATATTCCATAATTAATAAATTTCAAATGGAAAGTATATTAACTAGTATAATACCCGTGTTATACACGGAAGTTTATAAAATAAAAGACCAAATTAAAAACAAAAATAATTAGGGCATAAGTTTTTGAATTAAATCACAAGTAATCTATCAAATTTTTTACCAAACCTCTCACATAAGATGTGGGATCCACACACATGTGGATTTGTGTGGGTCTCACACCAATGTGAGAGGTTTGATAGAAAATTCGGTAGATTATTTGAGATCCATAGTGTGTGGGTAAAAATCTGACCACACTGCCCGTTTAGTGATCAGCAGCTAAGCACCGGCAGAATAGATGGCTCCAGCAACCTGTAACAGAAAAGAAAAGCTCCGGCGGTGGTTCTTCCACCCGGGGGCACTCCGACGATCAAGTCAGTATATCTCTCAAAGATAATCAAGCACTAAATTGAATACTCAAAGTATAAATTGCATACCTTAGACCCACGGGGGTGCCTCTCTTTTATAATATACTCAATCCAAGTCCAACTAGAAGTACGACTTCTATGAACTCCAATCTTAGTGCTTACTCTGGACTCTTTAAGAGATAGAGATAAACTCCCTAAGAGCTTTTATCCTTATCTTAACTAAGTCCCCTCTTTGCCTTAGGACTCTTGTCCCTTATCTTCGGACTCCGACATCTTCGGAGATGACCTCGGCTTCTCCGAGATTACCTCGGCTTCTCCGAGATTACCTCGGCTTAACTACCAGGGCACGTGGCACCTCGACTGACACGTCGGCGTCACCATGCCACGTGTTGGTATTCAAAAAATATGTCCCCACACATAGTATTTTCCTATATTTAATTATTTTCTAACTTAAGGTATTTAAAATATAAAAAATTTAAAATTAATTTTCATAATAAAAATTAAAATTAAGAATATTTAGACTTGTTTTATTTGATTGAATATAAATTAATTTTAAAAATTAAGCGGTAAGTAATTCTTCACAATTAGCTACTATTAGTTACAAAATAATTGAATATAGATATTTTAAGTGGTAAGTAATTCTTCAAATTTTCTAATTCACATGAATAAGGGAATAATCCCCACATTATGGAAGAGGAGCTACAAATATGAGTTAAATAGTTGTAAATTTATCAATTCAATACCTAAAAAATTAATAATATTTTTTATAAATAAAATAAGTTAATTTATAATAGAAGCCTCTAAACATATAAATTTATTTTCTATTGCGTATTTATTATATTTTCTAACATGATTTGGATATTTCATGTGAACATTTTTTCTTTATTTTTTAAATATAATTATGTGCTTTTATTTTTCTTAATTAGCAAAAACCAATATTATACACATGATTTTATATATAAAAACAAAAAATAAAAGAAGAAGAAGAAGATGAAGATGATGATGAAGAGTTCAACTCACATCACAATAGTCCAAGCAGTCCAACTCACATTACAACAGTCCAAGCAGTCCAAAAGCAGAGTTCAACTCATCACAAAGTACACGAGCAGCAGCAGTCCACAATTAGTTAGTTATATCAAATTGTATGCAGTTAGTTTGTTACAAGATTGGTTAATTTGTTATTAGTTAGTTTGTTATTATATTAGTTAGTTTGTAGTTAGTTTGTTACAACTTACAACTGAAGTGAATTGTATATAATGTAATAGTAAGTTGAGTAAAATAATAAGAATTCAGTCTTCTTTCATGGTATCAAAGCCTCTAGAGCTCTGACGAGCATTCAACAATGGCATCATCTTCAATGCCAAATCTTTCTCTTCTTCTTTCCAATCTCAATTCATTAGTCACTGTCAAACTTGACTCATCCAATTATCTAATTTGGAAAAGCCAAGTTCAGAAACTGTTTAGAGCTACAGAATTCTTTGGCTATCTTGATGGATCAGTTGATTGTCCTTCTTCTACAATTCTGGATGCACAGAACATTTCAGTAGCCAATCCAGAATTCAGCAAATGGAAGATTGTTGATGCACATCTTCTGAGCTGTTTAACTGCAACCTTGTCACCACCAGTTTTTTCTTCCATATTGCATCTGCAGCATAGTCGTGAAGTGTGGCAGGCTTTAGAAAAGAGGTTTACTGCTTTATCACGTTCGCATATTCATCAACTCAAGAACAAACTTCAATCACTTTCAAAGAAATCTCAACCTATGGAGGCCTATCTGCAACAGTTCAAGGACATTTCAGATCAAATTGCATTGGTCACTACACCTATTGATGATGAAGATCTTATTCTTCTTGTTTTGAATGGTCTTCCTGATGAGTATAACTCATTCAAAACAGCTATTCGAGCCAGATCTGGTGCTGTAACCATGGAAGAGGTGTCCTCTTTGTTGTGTTCTGAGGCAATTCATATTGAGAAGATCAATCTACACTCCTCTCCCAATGTTGCTTTTTCTGTAGTTCAAGGAACGTCTTTTGCCCCTCAAACTCTATCTTCACCGTATCCTTCTACTCAAGGTTTACAACATTTTCAGTCAGGCCCAAACCAATCCAATTTTTCTACTTATAGAGGAAATCATTCCAATTCTCGGGGCAGAGGTCGCTATACAAATTTTTCTCACTATAGAGGTCGTCGTGGTTCAGGTCTTGTTTGCCAAATTTGTGGCAAAAATAATCACACAGCTCTTGAATGTCGTAACCGTATGAATCCAGCTTATACACCAGCCATGAATCCAGTTTATATACCAGCTTATCCACCTTCTTATGGTTTTGTTTCTGGTTCACCAACTCAAGGAAACAACTCTATGTCTTCTTTCTATCCTGGTGTTTCTTCTCCATCTACTACAGCTCCTCGAGCCTTTTCTGCTGCAGGTCCTAGTTCTTCTTCTTCGTCTGATACTTCTCCTTGGTATCTTGATTCAGCTGCTACCACTCACATTACTAATGACTTGCAACATATGCAGCTGTATCAACCTTATCAAGGTCCTGATCAGGTTGTGCTAGGAAATGGAGATTCTCTTCCTATTCACCATAGTGGAGCTGGTATTCTTCCTACTCCTACTTTTCGCTTTCAGTTGAATAACTTACTTCATGTTCCACAAATTTCTTCCAATCTTATTTCTGTTCATCAACTCACTCAGGATAATAACTGTACCATCACTTTTGATCAAAATTCCTTTGTTTTTCAGGAGAAAACTTCGAAGGTAGTGCTTTCTCGAGGTTTTCACTCTAATGGTCTTTATCAGTTTGCCTCTCCTCCACAGGCTTATGTTACTCAAAGCATCCCTTCTACTTTGTGGCATAAGAGATTAGGTCATCCATCAACTGCTAAGTTCAATACTATAGCTAAGTTTGTTCCTGTTGTTTGTAATAAGGATAATAATGGACTTTGTTCTCACTGTTGTGTAGCTAAAAGTCATCGTTTACCTTTTACCTTATATTCTTCTGTTGTTAATCAACCTCTTGCCCTCATTCATAGTGATGTTTGGGGCCCTTTTACTCAAGATCAATCTCAATATAGCTATTATGTTCTTTTTGTTGATGATTTCAGTGGTTTTACTTGGTTGTTTCCTTTACACTACAAGAGTGAGGTCTTTAATAAATTTTTGGAGTTCAAAGTGTTTGTGGAAAAACAATTCTCTACTTTTCTTAAGATTTTCAGATCTGATGGTGGTGGTGAATATTCTACTCATAAATTTCAAATTTTTTTTACTGAGAATGGTCTTGTTCATCAGTTCTCTTGCCCTCATACTCCATCTCAAAATGGATTGGCAGAACGAAAACATCGTCATATTATTGAGACAGCAATAACTCTCTTGCATCATTCCTCTTTGCCTCTCAAGTTCTGGTTTGAGGCAACCAATGTGGAGATTGAAGAGCCTCTTTGTAGGAGGTAGGTTCAGCAAGAGAGGGAGAAAGAGAAGCTGATAAACATAGGGAAGAAGTAGCCTTGGACCTAGTAATCATAGGATGAGTATTAAAAGAAGAAGGAGGAGGATGAAGAAGGATAGGTATGGTTAAGTGAATACCAGGATGAGCAGCCAAGGAAGGATATGAAGAGGAGGAGGAAGTTGAGGGAGAAGAAGACTGTGCAGAGGAGATAGGTAAAGTAGAAAGAGAAGAAGAATCAGAAGAAGAAATAGAAGCAACAGTTGGAGAAGGCCAAAAGAAGGACTGAAGAGTAGACAAAGAAGGAGAAGATGAGGAAGAAGAGGCTGTAGATGGAGAAGAAACACCAGGATAGAAAAAAGACATAGAGTTGTTTCCTTGAGTTGGTGAACCAGAAACAGAACCATAAGAAAGTGGATAAGCTGGTATATAAACTGGATTCATGGCTGGTGTATAAGCTGGACTCATACGGTTACGACATTCAAGAGCTGTGTGATTATTTTTGCCACAGATTTGGCAAACAAGACCTGAACCACGATGACCTCTATAGTGAGAAAAATTTGTAAACCGACCTCTGCCCCGAGAATTGGAATGATTTCCTCTATAAGTAGAAAAATTGGATCGGTTTGGGCCTGACTGAAAATGTTGTAAACCTTGAGTAGAAGGATATGGTGAAGATAGAGTTTGAGGGGCAGAAGACGTTCCTTGAACTGCAGAAAAAGCAACATTGGGAGAGGAGTGTAGATTGATCTTCTCAATATGAATTGCCTCAGAACACAACAAAGAGGACACCTCTTCCATGGTTACAGCACCAGATCTGGCTCGAATAGCTGTTTTGAATGAGTTATACTCATCAGGAAGACCATTCAAAACAAGAAGAATAAGATCTTCATCATCAATAGGTGTAGTGACCAATGCAATTTGATCTGAAATGTCCTTGAACTGTTGCAGATAGGCCTCCATAGGTTGAGATTTCTTTGAAAGTGATTGAAGTTTGTTCTTGAGTTGATGAATATGCGAACGTGATAAAGCAGTAAACCTCTTTCCTCTGAGCAGATTGCTGATATCTTCACTAAACCTTTGCCTGTCTCTCGGTTTCATTATCTTCAATCCAAGCTTCTGGTGACTGCTGCCCCATTCAGCTTGAGGGGGGCTGATGAAGAGTTCAACTCACATCACAACAGTCCAAGCAGTCCAACTCACATTACAACAGTCCAAGCAGTCCAAAAGCAGAGTTCAACTCATCACAAAGTACACGAGCAGCAGCAGTCCACAATTAGTTAGTTATATCAAATTGTATGCAGTTAGTTTGTTACAAGATTGGTTAGTTTGTTATTAGTTAGTTTGTTATTATATTAGTTAGTTTGTAGTTAGTTTGTTACAACTTACAACTGAAGTGAATTGTATATAATGTAATAGTAAGTTAAGTAAAATAATAAGAATTCAGTCTTCTTTCAGATGATGATGATGATGATGATGAAGAAAAATAAAAAGCTTAGTTATAGTCAAAATAGAAAACAAATATTTTTCATAGAAGAAAACATAACTATAACATGTTTGAAGAAATGCTAATTAAATATATATATATATATATATATATATATTTATTTATTTATTTATTTTAATTCTAAACTACTATAATTAAAAAAGTTTCCATCTACAACTTTCCAAGTGAAGATTCTTCCCACAAAAAATGTCAAAATTGAGAATTTCTTAAGTCAATAATATTTTTTTCAGTGGTGCTACACATATTAATTGATATATCAATTAATGTATTAATATATGTTATAACATTGTCATTTTAAAATTATGAACCCCACCCATTATACAAATTATAAAGACCTAAAACCTTTAAAATTATGTCAAATCACCTATTAATACACTAATTAATATACAAATTGGTGCATATAGTTTTAATCTATTTTTTCAGGTTACCATAAGAAAAAGGCTACCATGTAAATTTTTCACAAATAGTTTTCTTAAAATTTCTAAGATATAAAAAATAATTTATTTGGCACATTTTTAACTTTTTATTATTATTTTGAGAATAATTATTTCATCGGGATTTTAAACTGGATTTTAAACACTTGATATGGTAATATTCACAAATTTATGTATATAAAAGTAAACAGGTGTTGTACTATTATTCTATATTTATCTATATCAAATATTTCATCCCAATTTTATTTATTTATTTATTTACAAAAAAAACCCAATATTATGCTAAAAAATTTTTGAATTACAAATTCCTCGAATTTATCCTCTTAACCACCTCATAATCATGTGAACAATTTTTGAATTATAAATTTTTAAAATCTCTCTCCTAATCTTTTCGAATAAAGCTATACATATTAATTGGTAGGGGTGAAATCGGTACAGTGCGGTCCGGTTTTGAGGTATTTTTGCGCCGAACCGCACCCTTCGGTTTTCCATTGATCTGTACCGAACAGACCGAATTACTAGTAAGAACCGCACCAAGCGGTTTTACGTTGGGGCGGTGCGGTTCGGTCGGTACAAGTCGGTTCTTCGATCTTCAACAAAATCTTTTCTTGTAGGTGAAAGACCATTGGTGAACACATGAAGAAGATGAAGATAGAAGATGGAAGATGGAAGAAAATGAAGATAGAAGATGGAGGATGAAAGAAGATGAGAGGGTTTTGAGAGAGAGAGAGAGAGAGAGAGAGATCCAACCTTAACATGAAGAAGATGAAGATGGAAGATAGAAGATGGAAGACATAGATGACCTGGAAGATGGAAGACATCGACATAGATGACGAGCACGAAGATGGAAGACATCCAACCTTAACAGCGTAATAATTAGATAGAGAGAGAGAGTTTTTTAATTTTTTTATTTTGAGCAATGTGAAACATTGGGCAGTGTGAAAAGGTTTTGAATATTGGAATTGATTACATTGATGACTGCATGAAAATAATAATAAAAAATAACTAGACAATAAATAATAGTAATAAAAAAAGATGGAGTATATATCGGTGCGGTTCGGTGCATATGGTTTTCAAATTATAATTACCAAAAACCGAACCGAAGTTCGGTTTTTTGTTTTAACATAACCGAACAGACCGAAATAAGAAAAAAAACAGACCAAAACCGACCGGTTCAATTCGACTCGTTCGGTCCAATCGGTTTATCGGTTTTTCCTTTCACCCATATTAATTGGTATACCAATTAATGTATTAATGGAAGATGCGATATAATTTTAGAAGTTTTGAGTCTTTCTAGATTGTATAATGGGTGGGGTTCATAGTTTTGAAGTTGTAATGTTATAACATATGTTGATGAACTAATTGATATATCAATTGCAATAATCCTTGGTAGCTCAAGAAACATTTGGCCTGAATTGGCTCGAACACCCAAAACGATATCGTTTTGGGTATTTTTTTTAAAAAAAATTTCTCTCTTGTATCGCTGAAAACAAAGAGAGAAAAGAGAAAGAGAGAGGAAGAGAGAAGAGGGAGGGGAAAATCTCTGTATGTATCTCTTGTGTATGTGTGTGCTGATGATGATGGAGGGGGAAAATCCCTCTTGTATCTGTGTGTGTATCTCTTGGGAAGATCTCTCTCTCTCTCTCTCTCTCTCGATGGGTGGGTTTGATTTTTTGTGGGTGGATTTGATTTTTGTGTTTGATCGGTGGGTGGGTTTGATTTTGATTTTGATTTCAATTTTGTGATGGGTTTCATAGTTTTTAGAGAGAGAAAGTGGGTTTGCTTCAATTTTGTGATGGGTTTGGTAGTTTTTAGGGAAAGAAAGTAGAGGAAGAAGAAGATGAAGGAGGTTTTGGGAAGGAGGTTCTGTTTGTCAATGTTCACAAATGTTTAAGACAGAAAAGAGAGGAAAAGGAAGACGAAGACGGAAAGAAGAAGAAAAAAAAATGCAAAACGACATCGTTTTGTATTTTCGAGCCATTCGGGCTACTTGCTTTCGAGCTATCCAGTAGAACTATATCAATTGATACATGTAGCACCATTGAATCATTTCTCTTTCCTAAAATCTCTTCTCTCTCCCACTAATCTAAACTTACATACATCATATCCTCCCACTATATATAGGTGTTAATTGCATTTGTGTTTATGGAGAACTATAAGGTGGTGTTTGTTTTGAGGTATTGATGGGTGAGATTGGACTATCAGTTCATCTAGACTAGTAGTCCGTTGTTTGGTTCAAAATTTTGACACCAGACTAATAATCCCAAATCCATTGAACTATTGTCCCGGGGAGAGGGGGGGACACAAATGGAGGGATAAGGGAGATATGAGATTAGGTAGTGAAATTACCATTTTGACTCTCAACTATTTAATTATGTATTATATTTAGTAAAATTCAATAAAATTTAAATGTCTCAATTTAAAAATAAAATAATTTTATTTAATTTTTATTTTTATTTTTGTTTTATTTTATTTAATTTCATTATTTAAATTTTAATAGATGTTTTATTTAATTTCATTATTTAATTATTATTATTATTTAAAATAAATTTGTTTAAAATTTTAATTAAAAAATAACATATATTTTTATTGATATTTTATTTATTTTATTTTTAAAAATTAAATTTATTTAATTGTGCAAAAAATAAAATAAAATAAATTTTTATTTAATCTAGTTAAAAATAATTAAAATATTGAAGATATGTTTAATATTGCTATTATTTAGTAAATAATTAAAAAAGGTAAAATAGTCATTTGAATATCTATCCTTCTCTATAATTTTCCAAACAAACATAGGATTCATATCCTATCCAACCAAATAGTCATTTCCTGACATCTAATTCTATGATTAAACAAATCTGGGATACAAATCCAGTTCAACCAAATAGGCAGGGGACAATGTATCCCAAGACTAACAGTCCGATAAATTCTAATCTTCTTTTATCCAGTCCGTCCAAACACACCCTAAAATTATAGAAATTTATGTATACATTTCAATCTATCAAACAATCCATGGTGGTACTAAAATGCAGACGTTGGAGGAGGTAAGATGCTAAAGTCACAAGATTCTACTCTATTGGATTGACTGTCTCATGAAAAGTTCATTCTTTGTATGATTTTATTGGAATTCTTTTTATATTTCTATTAGTGAATTTCCATGATACAACTCATAGTCACTTGTATTGTGAATTGGTGATTTTTACCTAAAGGTAATAACTTATACTATTTTTAGGGGCTCTATAGGCATAACCTTTATGCCCATTCAGTTCTTCTCCCCATGATGTTGAATTTCATAGAAGGTATGGATTTAGTTTTACTATTTTCAACAGTGACAAAAGTCATTGAAAAATCAAACAAATAATGCAGTTGTTAAGCAATTTTTAATATTTTTTAAATATTTTATTTGATTAATTATCTGTTCAATTTTCTCTCCTTTTGATATATTGTGACAGGACATATAGCGTGTACTCAAGCTGAATTTTTTGGTTGTTATTCATAGCATAGAAAATGTGTTGCTAGCAATTATTCTTAAAACTTATATATATATATATATATTTTTTTATTTGGTGTTGGTATTTTATGATTTTCTTCATGAATCATATCTGAAATTTTGACCTTTATTGATAATTATAAAAACACTTCCAATATATTATTCAAAAATTATTAACTACTGATGTGTGATAAAAATCTCATTTTTTTATTTAATATTGATTTTCTCCACTTTGATCCCATTGGAGTTGTTTGAATAAGGGCTTTGGGTCCAATCTAAAATTATCTCTAGAAATTTGAAGATGTTTTACAAGTTATGGAATCAATTTTGGAGAGACAGAGAGGATAATTGTACCACATATTTGGATTATAAGGTTTGGTTGAAGAGAAATTTTTTGAGTTATTTATTTATTAGATTCACACAGTTTTTACAAATTCACGTTTAGAAAGAGAGTTCTTAAAAATTTTATGCGAGGAAGAGATATAGGAGAAATTTTAGAATACAGTTTATAGTTATATTGGGTGAAAGTTTTAGCAAATTTATGATTGGGGAGTATTTTTTAATAAGAATTGAGAAATTATTGGAGATAACTAAGGATGATTGCTCTTAGTAAAATAGGACAAGTGATAGAGAGACTAATTTCAACTATAAGGTCTGATGAAATAATGGA